CCATAGGCTCAGATGGCTCGATTACTATCTTACTATCTAAGCACAATGTGGAAAAATGATTGGAATGAGGTCTAATGCGCCCTAACTCATGAAATTTACTACTATTTGCATCCCCATATTTACACACACTCAAGTCTCCCAAAGTAATATTATCTACTCCCTCATATGACTTTAGAGCACTCTTCTCAATATTGGCATCCTCAAGAAAAACATGGTCTAGTGATTGGTATTCTCATTTTAGCTCCTGAATTTGGTCTAGAAGATTTTTTTCAGCTTCACACAACTCATTATTAAATTGTTGGGTGTTACACGCATCAACCTTTGCACTCAAATCTGCATCTAAGTTATGTACAACCAAGCCAAAATTATCAATTTTATGTGCAAGTTCATCTCTCTCCTTAGACCAATCGTTCACCAACGTTGTTAGAAGACAACGTCTTTTTGCATATTCGTTTAGTTGAGAATTATTCTTTCCAATACCAACCTTTACTCTATATTCAAGTTCAGACCTCCCAGAGTTCAGGTCATGACAAGCCCAAAAATACGGGCCATAAAAGTCTTCCGTCAACCAAGCGTCTTCATCAATAACCTTATCTCCGACTATTTCATCCCCAAATGTCATGTTGAGAGAACTAGAAATACACTAAGAGAAAAGTCAAATAGTTATAAAATTACAAATATTTACAAAAAAAGAAGAAAAAAACTTGTAAAAATAAAAGTAAAAGTCTAATCTAGAAAAATAGTTAATTTCTAAGTCCCCGGCAACGGCGCTAAAAACTGGTTGCGGCCAAACGCACATGCAAGTATACGCGGCCGTCAAGTAATAAAATGACTAAAAGTCAGATGTCGATCCCACGAGGACTAGTGATTAATTATTAACTAAATTAGACTATCCTAATTATCTAAACAAGAATTAAACCTAGAAATATTCGATTCTAAACTAATTAAATAAAGAAAAACAAATAATGAACGTCGAACAGAGAAAAAGAAAATTTTTATGATATCAATGTAATGAAAACGATCTAAAGTTATGGGCTATCTAACATTCCTATTGTATTCTTCAATTGAATTGACTAACTAATTTATTTAGTTTATTGGTTGATAAGGTTAATATTACTCATAAGAATCTGTTGAGTTCTTACTCGCCTATTCAAGCTAACCTAACGCCTATATGTCTATGGAGTTAGAATCAACACGAACGCATTTATAATTCCTGTAAATCAACCAAGCAAGGCAATTAGGTATATGTCTATCCTAACCGCGAATCCGTTCCCCGATGCCCAGGTTCAAGAACTTGCTCTACTCAATCCTATATGCAATCTAGAATTCCCACTTTCGAGTTCAACTCTAGATTCGTAGATAGTATTTAATTGGTGATCAAGCAATCAAATAATTAAGTACATGATTGAATAAATAAACCAATATGATAAACTAAGAAATCAAAATCAATATCCGAATAACAATAGTCATGAAAGAACCACAACCCTAGCACGTGAAGTTTAGCTCCACATGGACATGGTAGCAAAACAACAAATCATACAAAGAAACATAAAAATTACAAAGTTTGATGGAAGAAAAGATGAAACCCGGCCTCCACGGCGGCTTTGTGCTTGTGTTTTCCTCTCAAAAACGTCCTCCCCCTTCAAAATACCGTTTTTTCATGTATATATACCAAGTAGGGTTGAGCGGCCAATCAGATGAGGGTAGCTTTGCGTCTTCCGTCCAACATTTCTAGGCTCGTATTCATGGCCTCGCTATTTTACTCTTTTGTTGCATATCAAAATCCGATGCTGGGTTCTCCGACCGGGATTAGAGCTTCGACACGATAAACTAATGAGAACGATGTTGATCCGGTACTAGATTTCAATGTTGTGCGGTATGTCCATAGAACTTCGGGCAGTATCTCTCTCCATTTCCCTTTGGCGTCGGTCAATCTCTTCTTAAGGTTCTGAATGATGGTTTTGTTGGTCGATTCAGCTTGTTCATTCCCGCTGGGATGATAAGGCGTCGATAGGATTCTTTTGATCTTGTGTTCCTCGAGAAATTTAGTCAGTTTGATGCCGATAAATTGCTTCCCATTAGCACATACAATCTCAGAGGGCATCCCCAATCGACATATAATGTGATCCCACATGAAGTCAATTTAAATTTTATATAGGAAATCGCTAACTTTGTGAAACAAGATAGAAACATGTTTTCCTTTCTACTTGGAGGGTATTAGGGGTGGGCATAATACCGACTGAACCGAAAAAACCGACCGAATCGTAAATTTCGGTTTTTCGGCTTATTCGGTCGGTTTGCGGTTTATGTTTTCTATAATTTCGGTATTCAATTCGGCGAAAAACCGAAGTTTTCATAGAGGACATATTTTTATCGACCATGTCTGTCCGCTTTCAAACAAATGTAGTGTAGTAATATTTCTATTCAACTTTAGATGAAATCTCATGCAGTATTCTTCATTGAATCATTGAACATTAGCAAACTAAATGCCTACCATAGCAACCTGGACGGAAGTTGAGATAGTTTACTTCAAAATATGTGTTGTTATAAAATACCAGAAAACTACTGAACATTTATCTAAGGGGGAAGAGAGAAGAAACAAAATAGAAATTATACAAATGTAATACCATATCCAGATATTTACCAGAAATCATGCATTGTCACGTTGCATCGTGTGAATACGGAGCAATTAAAATCATTTCTACGACCAGACTCTATTTCGAACACCAAATGAAGGCTATTATAGTTGAATGCAACTTTCTCGTTGTACTGGCAAGCACGTACTGTAATTTGTTCAAAACCGGCTGAATGGAACCGAAAATCGACCGAACCGAATAAGCAAAAACCGAAGAAATCGAACTAATTTTGGTTCGGTTATTGGCCGAAAACCGAACAAACCGAACTTCATAAAGACCGAACCGACCGACGCCACCCTAGAGGGTACAATAGAGCTTTTATTTTTTTGGTGTCACCTGTCGACCAAGTGCAAGACTGTCATTTTGCATTTATTAAAGCGCTCGCTTCCTATGTAGAAACATCCGTCTTCTTTTCTATTCACTAGTTTTAGGGTACGCGTGTTACACGTGTACCCTATATTAATGAATATAAATTTCTTAAAATTACATTGTTAGATAGTACTATATTAAAATGGATTTAAGTTATAAAGTAAAGTTTTTAAAATTGATGAATATTAATTCGCCAACAAAAGTCCTCGAATTAGAAGCAACAAAGCCGATCCATCATGTTTATATCATAATTTATCGTTGGTACATCATCTTGTGCACGCATTCTTTCATCTCATTCGTACCGTAAATCCTCCTCAAAATATTACAAAATTCAAGGTATTTGTTCTGTGCAAATTCAACAACACACACAAATAACATAAAAGAAAAAATACGCAGTAAAATGTATTGGTATGCCAAAAATATTTTTTTGGAGCCATTACCTGAAAACAAACTCCAAAAAAATACTTTCTAGAATAGTCATTAGAAAAGGGAGATAAAACTGTAGCTTTGAATCTTATATTCTTATCCAATAAAATGTTATGTTATATTTAAGTTGTAATTATTTAATTATGAAATAACTCTACTTTAAATAATTTCGTACAAATATTTATATTTTCATGGACTAATCTCCAACAATGGATGTTAGTATTCTGTAATCACCGAGAATTCTTTATGAGACTAAGTTGGTGTCGGCATGGACTAATCTTTCAACGGATTAATTAGTATTCTTAGTCATATTTTTTTGGTTTGTAACATCCTTTCTTCAATATGAAATATATTTTTTAAGCTTTTTGTAATAAGATTTTTTTTTATATTAGGTAGAATCTTAGTCGATTTATTTATGACTTCCTACATAATTTTAATAAGGAAAGACTTACCAACTAAAAATTTAGTCTATTTTAAAATTCTAAATATTAGGAATGCAGCTTAAATAATTTTATATGTTATCCCATTTCAATTATTACAAATTTTTATCTTTACAAATTATAAATTTTTTACTGTCAATTTTTTTGAAAAATACAAATTTGTTTAAGTATAAAAAAGAAAATCAAAAAATTCAAAAGTTTTAGTTATTGGGACACATTATTCCTTCAAATCCGATTGCTTTGTCATGATCAAAGAACCTGTAATAAATAAGAAAAGCGAATAATATCTAATCTTAATATATAATTTTTTTTATAGTGTAAAATGTTTTAGCCGCTATTATATACAATGTAAACATGTATATATCACTTGGACCTCGTTGGCTCATAAAAAAAAAACTCAAAATATAAGCGATTCCTGGAAAACAAAATTATAATAACTACAAAATCCATTACATCAAGAGAAGAACAAAACTTTAAACTATTTATGCATACCTTGTTAAAGTTGGAATCATAATGAATCCTGTAGCGAACTCTTTAAAAGAAGTGTTTTATTTATAAGTGAAAACTACAATATACAGAGATACAAGGCCATATTTTAAACTTACTATCTTCACCAATGAACTAAAAACGGAAAAAATAGAATAGAATCAGTTGAAATTAATAAAAATAACATTGGATCTATTTCAAAAAAAAGTAGAAGAATTAATCGAAATAACCGACCACCCAAATGTTTAAATTAAAAATAGCCAATAAATATATAATATATGCATAACTTATATATTATATGTGTATAATTGTATATAATCAATGTATAATGGGTAGAAAATCAAAAGCCCTGTCTTGATTTGATACGGTTTCCCTTGCTATTTTTCAGCGCCATCGTTTATTGGAAGTTCTCTCTCAACTTGTGTTTTTGTTCCCATGAGGTCTTGAAGTTTAGGGTTTTTCCCTTAAATATAAATAATCGCTTGAACCCGCATCAATTGTTTGGAGTTGAACATAGATCTCCCTCCCCCGTGTGATATGAGTTTCTGTTTCAATTACTACCAAATGGCTGATATCTTTGTTTTTTTTGGCTAGGGTTAGGGTTTGATTTTGTTACACACTACTGCCAAAGGCTGCCATTGACATGGACCCTGTACGGTGCACAAAGTTTTTTGAGTCTACTATTTTTGATGCGATCTTGGAATCTCACGAAACAACCCAGCATGTTGTGCCATCTGCTGTGCATGCTGCCACTGCGCAGTACGAAGACAGTCGGAAGAGCTTAGAATTACGTTACGGTGTTGAAATTCCCCTCGATGCTATGCAAGCCGCTTGTGAAATCCTTGAGCGCATCTCGCCAAAAGTTGGAGTGGTTCAGCTGTTGGAAGAAGCTGCCACTAAGTTGAGGAAAGACTTTGACTGCGATTCAGAACAGAAAGACCTTGATTTCTACGAGTTTCTGTTTAATCGTGCCTTTGTTGAGTCAAGGGAGATGATGAAGGAGAAGGATCCTTCACTGTCTGACATGCTTCCTTGCGTAAGTGACAAATTTTCTGCTTCATGTTGCACAAGGCACCTTATATCTCCCTCTTTCTTGTCCATTGTTTCCTATATGTCTTATCATTTCATTACCCAACTTTCCCAGGTGAAAAAAGAACTAGAGGAGGTGAAAGGTGCCCTGGAAGCTTTTACAAACCGCAGGCCTGCCCCTCTACGTGGTCAAGGTCAACATCACAACACAGTGGTTAGACATAAATATTTAGTACATCTAGCACATCTGCTCCGTATTCTTTATGGTGCCCAAGAACAGGGTAACTGGGACGGTTTCACCAAGGCCATTCGAGATCTCCATGGTGATTTTTCTGCACTTTCGGAAACTATAGATATAAGGTTTGCACAGCATCTCACCGTCACTCCTCGCATCGTTGCAGAGGTTTGTTTTTCCTACTTCGATCTAGTCAATGATACCGTGGATACTTTCTTTTTTATTCTTGAAGTTTCCAACAAAGAATAAGTATTTCAATTTTCAGGTTGCTAGCTCAATCACGGGTGTTCCAAGAAATTTCTTTCCTGCTCCGTTCCAGTTGCCCGTTGAACTCCTTGTGCAAAGATTGTCAAGGAAACTTGTGGGTCTGGATAATCAACTTAGGGCCATAATAAATGCAATGTCAATCCATAAGCTTGGATCACGCCCTTTGTACTCTTTCCTCTTGTTAAGTCCTTCAGGTCATGGAAAGACAGCACTTGCTGAGGCGCTTGCAAAAGAGATGTTTGATAATAGGATTGTCGAATATAAGGTGGCTGGTTTAACAGAAAATGATTTTATAGTACGGCTTTTCTCATGTCCGTTCTTGGTGTACGTGTTCTATTCCTCCCTTTTCCATATTTCAGAGGGTGGATTGAAACATTTATAAGCTTATTACTCGTATCTTTTGTTGCAGTGTTGACGAGTCAGAGGGGGCTAGCGACTCAACAGTCCGTCTTATTTCGAGCTGTGTGTTAGTGTTTGATAACGTTGACAAAGCAAACACTGCACTCTACGACATTTTCCTACAGATTCTAGAGAGTGGGTCATATGTCGATGCCTGTGGAAGGCAGATTGTATTTTCTAACACACTGATTCTCTTCACATCACGTGTGGAGTTCCCCAGGTGCGGCTGTGCAAGAGAAGTTTGGGAAACTTCCTTTGAGCCCCCTTTCAAGGGGTTGTTAAAGAGTGTAGGGGGAGTACAACAGCCGTGGTGGTGCGATTGCAATTTTCATGAACGTCTGGCTGATGTGAGATTTTCTGTAGATAAAAACTTGATAATGGCTTATTCCAACTGCATTTTGTGGGAGGCTGCTTTGTTGTAAATCTTATTTTAATTCATTTGATACGCTGCTTATTTGTACTGACGCAATATTTTGTACTTTACAGGCGGAGAAGCAGTTCAAGCCTCGGTTTTTTTATTATCTGGATGACGTAATTTTGACCCCTCGGCTATCTGTTGCTCACTTTATGTCAATTTTCAGAATACAAGTCCGCAATGCATCCTACTCCTTATTCGAAGAAAAAGTGGTTGTCTATCCGTCTGCCGCCGCGTTTTGTTATGTTTGGAGGAGTAAGTCTCTCAAGATGGAAGAGGTACATACATTTGATTACTTGTCAGAAAGTTTCTAAATGTGTTTTTGAGGGTATTGTAACTGTCGCAACTCCATTTTCCGCCCCGCTAGGAGCGTNGAAACAACAACAATTAATGCTGATTTCAAACAATGAAAGAAAGCAGAATATTTTTTTTGTTTTTCTTTATTTGAAGGTTTGAAGATTTTTCGGAATTTTTCTCTCTTAAATATTCAGCTCTTTTTTTTTCTCTGTTTGTGTTTTTCTGTTCTATCTATCTGTTCTTTTTTTTCTTCAGATTCGTTCCTCTCTATTATTCTCTTCTGTCTTCTCTCTTATTGTCTATCTAAATCAGATTCAAGACTTCTATATATATCCCATCCCATAAATCTTTTAATCAATTAAAATCAATACTTTTTCCTACCAAACCCATTATTCTTCCCACTCATCCCCATTACATTAAATAAATATATCATCACCACCCCATTATCTTTTGTCCCCCATGTTTCACTATACAAATACAAGATTCCTCCCCACTAAATTTTGTCTTGTCCCCCCTTTATATTAAACAACTATATCACAAC